TTCTTCTTCTTCTTCTTCTTCTTCTTCTTCTTCTTCTTCTTCTTCTTCTTCTTCTTCTTCTTCTTCTTCTTCTTCTTCTTCTTCTTCTTCTTCGCCTGAACATGCCTTCAGGGCATTTCTGGTTTGCAGGGAGTATCTGGGTTTGAGCTGGTGCAACTTGAGCCTCACTGCTTTCTTAAGCAGGCACTTAAACAAGTGAGCTAATGGGCAGGCCCCCATAATTTTCCTTCTTGGTTGTATCCTCACTGGATTGGGAATCTGACGAGCTACACTCAGGGTCCTTTGTCACAACTGCTTCACTTCCTTTCTCTCCTGCACCCTTCCTTTTTCTCTTCTTAGTACACTATTACCTTCAAAGGAAGCTGAGCTGACATGAAAAGTGGGCATCTTGCTGCTAAACTAAATCATGGGGGTGTGACCCCACCTCGCTCTGCTGCCCGTCTGGTTATTTCGGTCTTTTCATGGGTGCCTTGATTGGATGGAGGACATTGCTTTCCATCCCTCTCATGCCCATTGAACATCAGTAGTGGGGACTGAATTCTGATAAAGGTCTTCTCTGCCTATGTTAGGGTGATCTTGTTATCCTTTTTCTTATTTTGGTAGTGTGATAAATTTTATTGGCCAGTATTTTGAATATTAACTCAACATTGAGCGCTTGAGACACCTTATCTGTCGTGGGTCAATAACCACTTTATTTAGGTGAAGTGTATAATATTTTGTTAGGAATCTTTCATTTATATTCATGAGAAACATCTGTGTGTTTTTTTCTTGCAGTTTTTGTCAGAATTTGAATCTGATAAACTACACATAGGACGAAGCTTTTCCTTTGTCTTGTAAGCATATTATCCCTTTTCATATTTTCTATCCTCTTTTGTGTTCCTGGTTCAGTTCTGAATAGTTTTCAGTTTTATCTTCCAGGTTGTTAGTGTTTTCTTCTCGTTTATGCTACCATTAAGCCTATATATTAATTTATTATTTTAATTTATTAATTTGGGTTAATGCATTTTTACTTTTTAATTTATTTTTTATGTATTTAGTATGGAGTCTACAGGGTCTCACTACACAGATCAGATTAGCAGTGATCCTCCTGTTTTCAGCCTCCCAAGTGCTGGGATTGCAAGCGCGCACCACGATGCCCAGTCTCAATTGTTGTCTCACCACATCCCAGCGACAGGGCCACACAGCACTCTGGGCACCAAACCCCAGTCCCCATAGGCAGGTGCTTTAATCCGCTGAGCCCAGTGTATTTTTAAATTTTACTATTCATGTTTAGTACTCAGTTCTGTTGTTAAAGTCTATGTTTTCCCATCCATCATCTTGCACATATTTACCAGCTATATGAAATTCCATCTGATAACTTTAATATTTTGAAGTCCTTTGGGGCTAAGTATCTCTATTTTGTCTTTACCTGTGGCTTTCAGGGTTTTATTTTTGTTTTATGTCATGTGGTCTTGTCTTTTAGCTTTCCCAGTCGTATTAAATGACCAACATCATGTATGAGAAATTATAGGAATAACTTGAGAATAGTGATAATGATGCTCTTTCCAAGAAGATTTGTATTGCTTCCAATAGGCAGGGGAGGAAGGAAGGGAGTGTCACAACCTGACCAGGAGCTGAGCTGGCTCGCCTGAGCTTCGGCCTGTAGGGGGGTAGTCCATTTCATGTGACTTTTCTGTGAATAAAGCCTGAAGCTCTGGGTGTACCTGATGACCGTGAGCTCCTTGGCATCTCGCCTCTCAGCCCGAGCTCTAAGTCAGCAAATGTCTGAGGAGACAGGATGCCAAGTGGTGGCCTCATTCTTCTGTTACCTCCTTGGTGTCATTGGCCCCAGCTGCCTCTGTAGCTCCTAAGGCTGCCTGTGTATTTTGGGGGTACATTTTGTCTAGGTCCTCATGATGTCCTTGGCAGAAAGTCTGAAAAACTAGTTCTCTGTTACCTTCCACTGCCACTTCTGTGCCATGTGTCCTGTCCTCTGGATGCTTGTGGTCCAGTGAAGGTTGCCACTGAGGTTAGCAGTGGAAATGCCCAGTTCAGTAGCATCTCTGCCACAGGGTGAGGACTAGACATCCCCTCTATTGTGAGGCACAATGCACCTTCGCCTATGGCCCACCTTCTCCCGTGTGGGCCTTCTCCTTTTCCCTCAGGAGGCCCCTCTCTCCTCCACTCACTCTTTTCTGCCACACTGTCGCTTTCTTCAACCTCTAGCTCACAGGCAAGAAGCAGGCCCTGGAGGAGCAGCTGGCACAGAGTCTACAGGACCAGGAGACCCAGGTGGATGCTCTACAGCGAGCCCTGAAGGCGAAGGATGCTTTGTCTGAGGAGCGGACCCGGTTGCTGACCAAACTGGAGGCCCTGGAAAGGCAGGGCCAGCTCACGGCAGAGGAGGCAGCTGATCTCAGGTGCTGCTGTGGGCCTGCCAACCAGGGCATGTCCGTCATGGAATGCCCACAGTGGGTCCAGGCACCATGTAGGGCAGGGTGAGCGTGTCTCCTGTCTGTGTGTGAGGGGTGCGTTGTGAATGAGAGGGACCCTGAGGTCATCTTCCTGAGCACAGAGCAAGTGGCAGAAACCCAGGTCAGCCTGGCAGGAAGAAGATGTGGGATGAATCTGGCTTCAAATAAGGCTGGATCCAGGTGGACAAGGCATTCAGAATCCTGTGTCTTCTTGCATCTGCTCTGCACTAATTCCTAGCTAAGCTCACACAGCAAGCGGGCAAAATTGCCAACAACTACCCCAAACCCAGGAACCTTTCCCCAAAGAAGGCCCCTAAGTGCCTCCATCGTCACCTTGGCCCACCAAGCATCCCTGAAGCCATCCTGGGAGCCAGATTCTCTGATCACCACCCTCTAGGAGTCTACTTTGGAAAGAGAGCCCCTGCTCCCAGGCCCGGAGGCGGTGGCCTCAGGGCACTGCTCCATGCAAGCTCCCTCGATGGAATGCTGGCCCCTCTTTAGCCAGCACAAATGGCCACGCTACACACACACACACACACACACACACACACACACACACACACTGGTCACCTCACCCTTCCCAGGCACCTGCAGCAGCTGGACCTCCACCTGAGGACTCAGAAGCGGGGAAGATGCTCCTGGAAGGACCTCAGTGGAGAGAGACCAAAGGCACCCTCAGACTCCCAGCCTGAGTGGCAGGGGCCGCTGTGAGACAGGTGGCGCCTAGATGGAGGCAGTTTCCAGGCTCTCCTGCTTGCTCAGCTGGAAGAGGGTCCTGGCGAGGGAATGTGGAGCATGTGGGAGCTGGCAAGGAGTGGGGACTAGAGTGGGGACAAGGTGCCATTTGGCAATGAGACTGATCTCAGGGCTTCTGACCTGGATCCAGAGGACCCCTTTCTGCAAATGTCAGAAAGGAAGGAGCCTTCTGGAAGGTTGATATGCTGCCCCTGCAGAAGTGGCAGAGCATGCCAGGATGCACCGGAGGCTGAGCTGGTCTTCTTGGGCTGAGCCTGTGCCCCGGAGCCTTCCTGCAGTGGCTAGGATTGTCCCTTTGTTCTGGGTGCTGTAGCTGTGTTTGACAGCTGCTGTGTTCTCATGTGGCTTAGACATATTTGGTAGCAAATGCCCCACCCTGGCAGAGCAGAAGTAGCCTTGGTTGCTCACTGTGGGTCATGGGCTGGGCAGGTGCCAGTGAAGCAGGGCCAGGGAGTCAGGCCCTTTCTCTACCCTCTCAGAAGTGGGTCTTGTGTGAGTAGGTGTGTGGTGTCCCACTCAGGCCTATGTGGAGTTCTTCTCCGGCAGGGTTTTTGGGGGGTCTCCCTCTGTGTCAAAAGAACAGAGGAACTGCATGGTGCTCCTGAGACAAGACTCACACCCCGCTCAGCCCAAGTGAGCAGCAGGGGGTCAGTGTTGGCACATGTGTGCTTCTAAGAAACCAGCACCTGGAGTGCCCCAGGCCCCACAGCCAGCATCAGGGTGGTCCCTGCACTCAGAGTTTGCTGATCCAACGTGGGACTGGCACCAACTGTGGCTTGACCCTCTCGACAGGCAAACTTGCGTTTGTAGCCAGCTGTGTTTTCTTTGCAAACAGCAGTCATTTTCCTCTTTCCTGTAGGGTTGGCTAACGTTCTCCCACTGATTGGTAGGGGGTCTCTGTGTGTGACGAGTGTCAGTGCTCTGTGTATGTGTTTGTGCTTCACATCTGCTTGTGGCCTTCGAAGCTGGTTTATGGGATCTTTTCTGCAGGAGGAACACTCCTCTCCCTCTACGTGGGTCCAGATCAGTCAGTCAGTCACCTCTTCATTTTTGTCTGTGTCTTCGTGTCTTGCTGGAGGAGATCATGATATGCCTTCCTGTTTTCTCAACCGTGTTTATAGTTCTGTGTATCTGACACTTGTTGTTTTGTTTTTGAATTTAGTCTCTATTCATCTAAAACATATTTGTGCACAGGGTTCAACTCATTCTTGGAGCTTCTGCATGAATGAGGGGCCCTGTGGTTCTCTGATCCTTGCACCCGGCCTGGCTCATGCTGCTCTGTGTCATAGGAGCATGTGGGTGTCATCCCTGCCTATCGTTCTCTGCAGGGCCCAGAGAGACTCCCTGGAGAGTGGCCTCTTTGAAGCCCAACAACTGGTGGCACAGCTGAGGGCTGAGCAGAAGCAGCTGGACGAGGCAGCCCAGAACACCCACTTGGCCCACCAGGCCCTACAAGGTGCTCCTCCCTGCCCTTCTGCCCACCATGGAGTCTACCCTGTGCTCGTCCCCCAGAGGTGCTGCTTTCCCCCAGGCTCCAAAGGACACAAACTCAGGCCTGGGGCTTGTACACCCCAATCTGCACCATGCTGACCCAGGCTCAGCACTGGGCGGTGGCCACAGAGCCGGTGCCATAATCTCCTGCACCCCACCTGCACCCACTCCTACTCCCCCGGCCCCTGCCACATGCAGCCACAGTAGATTTAGCAGCAGCCTCTCCACAGAGAGGTGGCCCTGTGGCCAGCCCTGACTTGCCCATCACTTCCCAGTGGAGGTGGAACAGCTGAAAAGTGACTGGGAGGCACAGGAAACAAGGCTGTGGTGGGACGTCAGGCGGCTGCAGCGGCAGGTGGCTCAGCAGGAGCGGGACATGCAGCAGGCCTTGGAGAGCCAGGCGATGACCCACCAGGAGGACCTAGCTCAGCTCCAGAGGGAGAAGGTTGCCTGCCCTGGGCCCACCTGGTTCTTCTGGGAGGGTGTGTCCTCCCTGGGGGAGGGCCCTGGAGACTGGGGACGGAGCCAGGCAATCATTCTTTGGAGTTCAGGTGGATGGCATGGGGCCTCCTGAGTCCTTACAGGTGGGGTAGGGGTAGGTTGTCCTTCCTGGAGTTGGGCCTGGAGTCTCCACTCTGGTGACAGGGTCTGTCCCCATCTGTGTTGTCCTGTTGGTCCCAGACCCCAGCAATTCCTGTTTGACTGTACTTACCCCCCATCCTGTCATTGGCATGCAGCTGAGGGTTAGGAGCGATTGAAGACCTGGGAGATAAATGTATGAAGGCAAATGCTGAGACGCAAGGAGGACTTTCCTAGTCACTGCCTGGGGACCCTGCAAGCAGATGGGGAGGCAGTCAGCTTGACAGTCTAGCCCTAGTATCCCACACGCCCCCTTTCACTCAGGACCACAGGTGCCTGCTGGTCTCACAGCCTGTCCTTTGTCATGGCCAGGAGACCCTCAGTCTGAGCCTGGCAGAGGAGCAGGAGATGGCTGCACATCAGCGGGAACAGGAGAAGGAGCTAGTGGCAAAATGCACAGCCGAGAGGGAGGTTCTGGAGGAGGAAATTCAGAGCCTGAAGCAGGAGCGGGATGAGTGCCTCCGCCAGCTGGAGCACAAGATGCAGCAGGTGACAGCAGCGTGGGAGGGAAGGGAGCCCATGCCCACCATGCTGGCCTCTAGGACCCTGCCCGAGGGCTGTATGGGGCCTCACACCCTCTCCCCAGGCTGATGTAGCCTTTCCAGGTTACTGCTGAGGCATTTTTGGTCTATGGAAGTTCTGGTAATTAGGGAGCCATCCACCTACTCATCCTTTCATCTGCCCATCTACACATCCACCCTCCATCCATCCATCCATCCATCCACCCACCCACCCACTTACCTAACTACTGATTCATCCATCCTTCCATCTATCCAGAATACATACATACATATACCCAACTGTCTACCCATTTACACATCCATCTACCTACTCACCCAACCAATCATCCATCCACATATCTTCTCACCTGTCCATCCATCTATCCATCTGCCCACTATCTCTCCATCTACCCATCTGTCCATCCACCCACTTATCCATTCGACCACCCATCTGTACCTCTACATACCTACTTAGCCAGCCACTCACTCATCCAACAGCCCTTCCAACCTCCCATCCATGCACACATCCATGCTACCATGTAGACCCACCCAACTATCCATATCCAAACATCTATACATTTGTCCAACTATCCATCCAACCATCTGCCTACACCCACTTACCTATCCAACTACACATCCACATGTCTACCCCTCCATGCATCCATTTATCCATAGGCCCACCCACCACTCAGCCATCTATCCACCTGCCCGCTCTCATATCCATACACACACACACACACACACACACACACACACACACACACACCTATCCATGCACCTACTTACTCATCCATCCACCCATGTGTCTGACTATCCATCCATCTGTGCATCTATCTGATTGTCCAGTTATACAGCCATTTATCAGTGCATCCCTCTGATGTCCTGTCAGCTTCTCTCTTGGCCATCCTTCCGTCCTACAGGTTGAGTCTCCTACACAGCCTGGAAGGCCGCCCCAGTCCAGGTCTCCTTGGCAATGCCACCTAAAGAGCTCATATTGAGTGAATAAGCAGACAACTAAGCACAGTCATGAGTCCTTGCACAGTGTGACATATCAACAGAAATTACAAAATTGTGAGGAGAAGCTGTGGGGGCTGCAGTAGCTGAGGGTTACTCTCAAACTGTTTCTACTTTAGTCCTCATAGAACTCTGAGGCACACACTTATGGAAACCCCATTTCACTGGTGAGAAGACCAAGGTCTGCATGCACCACCTTTGCCGAGGCTGCACCAGGCACCTGCCAGGCACTGAGACTTGGTTTAGACCTGCCTATGTTCCACGACCTGGGGTGGAGGAAGGAGGCTGGGGCCTTTGGGGAACATGTGGGGACAGTGGACTGTCTCCACAGCCCCCGCGCATCAGGCACAGTTGGGGGAGCCCTGGCTTCTGTACCAAGAGAGATAGAAGCTGGACCTGAAGGACAGGAAGGGGTAAGGTCTTGCCAGTGCCCGCTGAGCCAGAGACGTCTGATCTGGAGACCCCTGGAAGAGCCCTGGGGAGCAGCACAGCTAGGAAAGTGGGCCTCACTCAGGGTCAAGCTGAACACCTATCACAGCTGAGACCACACAAACTACCTTCTGTCCACACTCAGAGCACCCAGAGCCACTCAGTGAGGAGAAGGGGGCCCAGAGAGCAGAGGTGGCTGCACAGTGGACAGAAGCTCTACTCTGGTGGCCTCCCTGGGGATGCAGTGTGACGTCAATGCATAATAGCCTGGTGACACAGACAGCCAGTTCTTGGACACTGTCATAGTGCAGTAGGTAGACATTCTTGGGCCTTGCTGGTTCTTCCTGCTCTCCAGTGTCAGGCATCAGTGTGAGAAATAGCAGAGGGGAGAGGAGCAGCAGGCGAAGCCTGCAGCCTCCCCAGCAGGGAGCTGTGCGTCAGCCTCAGGCCGTCCTCAGGAGACGCTTGAGGACAAGCAGCTCTGAGAGCATTGCCCTGACTTCCATGGCTGCAGGCCCAAGTGCGACTGGGGATGCCCTTCCTGTGAGCCCACACTTCTGTCTTTGGTGGAGTTTTGCAGGGGATGTTAAGCAATATTTGCTGCCATGCCCACCATGAGGGCCCCAGAGGGGGAGGCACAGTGCTGGTCTTGAAACCCCCTCACAGGCTGATGAACAGATTTGGGCAGAGCCAGGAGCAGGGGCTGACAACAGAACAAGGGGAGGCCGAGCGAGGCTAAGACAAGCACAGTAGCTTTCAAACCTCCCTCTCTAGTGCAGAGAGCCCCACAGTCCCCTCCCCGGGAACCATCACTGCTGTTGGTGCTATGATGCCCCCCAGAGTTCATGCAGATGTGTAGGCCAAGGGCAGAACTCCCAACATGACGACTCAACTAAGGTGCCAACCAAAAGTTCAGGGTCTCCAGGCCACTGATGACAAGCATGAGGCTTCTGTGATCCCTCAGCTCCACTATCAACATAGGCAACACATCAGGACTGGGCCAAAGAAGAGACAGGTGAGGTGAGCTCTCTGGCATTCACATCGCCTTCCCAGGACATCACTGTGCCCACAGCCAGGGCTCCTGTGCACTCTGGGGACCCAGGTCTTGACTGGGGCCACCCCACAGCATGGTCAGCACACCGAGAAGCCATGTGGCTGGTACGCCTGATCCTGCAGCCAGTATTTCCAGTGCAGTCTCCACCCGAAGTCACCCCACTGACCTGAACCTTGTATGGGCCCGGGCCACCAGTGATGACAGGCTCTCCTCGCTCGGGAAGCTCCAGAGCCGGGAACTTCTGCCAGCACAGAGACCAGACAAATCTATGATGCAGCATCTTGGGAAGACTTCTTGCAGTAGAAACACACCGACCATGCTGTCCTTAGGGAAGGACTACAGCCTGAGAAGCCCATTGGAAACTGAAAATGCTGTAGGTGAGAGGCGCATCTCACACACCTGCGCTGGGAGACCCCTGGAGCAGCTTGGCACACTGCCATGCCTACTGTTCCCAGCCATGATGCGGACAGTGTCCGGCAACGAGGGAGGCTATATGCTTCCCACACAGCCTGGGAAACAGTTAAACGCAGACCTGAAGTACACTTTCCCCTGAAGGCACAGCACTCAAGCAGCGCACACGATCGCGGCCCCAAGGGCTTCGCCGCTGTGCCAAGCTTTGCAGTTCTCCCCCACGTGCTCCCACAGAGAAGGCTGCACACATCTGCTTCTGTGGTCCTCCCATGGCACGCAGCTGGGCTGTGTCCTCGCTGTTACGCATCATAGCTGCGTCCACAGCTGCTCAAGTCATAAAGCCGTGTCCACGGCTGTTACAAGCAGGGTCATGAGCACCAAGGATGGGTTGGAGCCCAGCCCAGCCTGCAGAGGGGCTGCAGTGGGCATTGCTGGCTCCAAATCTGTCCACCCCCGGAACCCCTGCAAGGGCAGTGCTGTGCCTGGGAACTGGGGGTGAGGGCCCCTGTCTGGCTTGATAGTTTCCCCTTCTCCCCCAGGGAGATGGTGTTTTGAGGTCCTGAGGTTGCTGGTGTTCCCTTCCTGTGCACTGTGGGGAGCTATGTCTGGAGGGACTGGGGGTCCTGAGCCTGGGCCTGGACAGAAAGGACAGGACTCTGAGCAGCAGGGTGCCGAGCAGCCTCCAGGGCGTAGGACATGGGACAGGCAAGCGCTTGGGCCCCAACCCCCAGCACCCTGATCAGCCCTGTGGTGTGCAGGCCCTGTGTGTGAAGGACACAGAGAGGAGCCAGCTGCAGGCAGAGCTTTCCAAGGCCACACAGGAGCTGGAGCAGGCGCAGCGGGGGGCCCAGGGCCAGCAGGCCCGCGCAGAGGTGAGCCGCCCTGCCTTGCCCAGCTGTGGCTCCCCCCGGTCTCCTGGGAGAGGGCACCATCCTGAGGGCAGGAGAGTCCAGAGCAGGCTGAGGCCACACTCTAGGCCCTGCCCTGGGAGCTGTTGGAACCGGAGAGGAAGAAACGTGGGCCCAGAACCGCGGGCCTGCTCACCCAGGCACGAGCCCCGGCCTCGCTGCCTCTGCACTTATATCTGAGGCCCTGGGGCTCACCATCTGGGGTCCCTGTCCAGCAAGAAAACGCTGATCCCATGGCAAACCCTCAGCCAGGTGGGCAGCTGCACTGCTTTCCTTGGAGAAAACCACTTAGTCACCCCAACATGGGGAGGGACCGCGTGGGAGTCCAGAGTGCTGGGCAGTGAGAGAGGTGCTGCCTGGAAGAGGGTGCAGAGCTCGGGGTGTCTGGTCCCTCCCAGTGACTTGCTAGCCAATGACCAGGCTCCGCCTGCCCCTGGGTTGTGATGGCTCCCAACCTCAGCCCCCTGTGGCCTGCTTGGGTTTGCACAACTTCTCGCTGGGGACACAAGCCCTGGCCAGGGCTGGCTCTGTCCCCACCCCACACAGGCCGGGAACCAAGAAGGCTTCCCAGGGCCCCAAGAGGGACTCCTCCACGGAGCCAGCGTGGCTTCCCGGGCGCCCTGGACTGGGGCCAGGCTGCCTGACCATGAACTCCCTGGGGACCTCGTTAGGCTTCTTTTGCCACCTCGGCTCAAAAAGTGGAAATTAGAACCCCTGAGAGGGGAAGGTGGGAAATGGGCCAGGGAACCCCAGAAAGTGGCGAGGAAGCCAGCCACCAACAGTGCAGGGGGCCTCCTGGCCTGTGTTGTGTTGTGAGCTAGTCCTGCTAGACCATGCAGACAAAACCACAAACTGCCGTCCACAATGACACATGTCAGTCACTGAAGAGGAGGGGCTGGGAAGCCCCGTAACAACCAGGGCACAGAGGGGTAGTATGGGGTCCCCCATTCCCCCAGGAACACTGTGCAGCTCTAGAGGAGACCTGGGCCCCTCTAGACCCCCCTGTGCTCGCCCAGACCCATAGACACCATGGCCCTCAAGGGCAAGAGCCAGGTCCGGCTGGGGGCCAAGTGTGGGGTGCTGGCAGGAGGCTGGGCCTCATCTTGGCTGTGTCCATGGACAGCCCTTCTGTGGGCCGAAGGAGGCCCATCAGGCAAAGGAGCCCAGCTCTCCAGCGCCCGAGGCCTGTGCCTCCTGGCAAGGACAGCAGGGCCTGGGTGTGGCAGAAGCAGATGTGGGCCCCACTGAGTCCCCGAAGGCCACACCCCATGCAGGGAAGGGTGCAAACAAGACATCAGAACAGTCATAGCCATAGGGACCCACATGTCCTCTGATCTTACCTGCCTATGTGACAGCTCAGGACATAGAGGACCAAGTGGCCTCATCTGCCCAGTGGCCCTGCTTACCTCACCCCACGCTGGTAGGCTAGGCCCTTGGTCAGGGACTAGAGGTACTTTGGCTAGAAGGGGTGCACCTACTCCCATGCTGACCATAGGGATGCTGTGGGACCTAGGGCCTCCTTGGCGCACCATGTACCCATCAGAGTGCTAGGGTCATTGGGGGCAGAGCCATTCATGCGCCTAAGGGGCTCAGAGAAGAAAAGGGCTAGCATTTGGTCCCACAGCTTAGGAGCCCACAGGAGATGTTCTGAGCTGGGACCTGGAGAACAGGAACCCCCACCCCTTCTCAAGGAGCCCCCACCCCATGGTAATGGACCGATGGGCCCCTCTTAACCCAGGCCACCATCAGCACCCTGACTGAGGAGCTGAGGACCCTGCAGGCCCAGTTTGAAGGTGCCATCTCTGCCCATCAGCGAGAAGCCACAGCTCTGAGAGAGAGCCTCCAGGAAACGGAGGCCCAGAGGAGCAACCTGCAGAGAGAGGTAGGGGTGGGGCAGGGCTGGGGTGCTAGGGCACGGAGCTGAGGAGAGGATGCTGGGGGGGACAGGGCCAGGTGAGGAGGAGGTAGGTTGTGGCCACATCCCCAAGTAGCACCAGAGCTGGCCCACTGCCACCTGGCTCCAGCCGTGGGCAGCAGAGGGATAGAGAGGTCTCATTTCCAGGCCTTAAGGGTACATTCAAGGGGAAGTGGGCTGTGTGGGCTGTGGGTGTCAGCACAGAGGGCACTTGGGCTGTTGGTGGGACACCAGGGCCCAGCTGCCCAGGGGCCAGCTCAGAGAGGGCTCGCTGGCTGACCTTTCCCCACACAGTCAAGGCACCAGGAACGGGAGACACTCACAGCCAGCAGTGCCTGCGGCTTCTCCCAGGCCTGCAAGAGAAGCCTCACCCTTGGATAGGGAGACTTGGTGTACCCCACAAGTGTCATCAGTGCTGGGTAGGATGCCGAGCAGGGTGAGGCTGGGGACCTGGCCAGAGCGGATGGAAGAAAGATGGAATGAATGGAGTTTTGGGGCAGTCACAGGCCTGGCGGAACCCTGGTGCTGACCCAAGGCCTGGGAACCCTGTGGCCATGATGGGAAGAGTCATGGGCAGGGTGGTGGGGCCCGCGAGGCCAGCTGTCCCTGTGCATGCTGTGGGCAGAAGGTGTTTCTGAGAGGCTCAGCAGGACAGAAGCACCTGTGGGAGGCTGGGGCAGGAGGGTACAAGGATTGGGGCTGCAGGAGGGGTCGCTGGGCCCCACGGGGATAAAGTGGGCTGTGTGCCAAGGCCTGATGCACAGGCTGAATGGGGTGCAGCCCCCAGGCACAGCCCATGGCCTCACAGAGTAGGAAAGGAAGCAAGCGTGATTTAACATGACGGCTGTTTACCTTGGCCCCAGAGAGAAAGGGCTCCTTCCAGCAGATTTCAAAGGCAGGCCTGCTGTGGCCACATGGGGGAGAAAGTGAGATTTCAAAACTGGGGGGCAGCAGCGGGGGCAGAGGCATGGGTCTCACGACAGGGCCAGAGCTCCACAGAGGTGGCCCCAGATGGACAGTGGGGCCCCCAGAAAGGGTGGGGTGACAGGAGGCTGAAGAGGAGAGGGACTCTAGACACAAAGTGCAAAGAGAAGCAGGCAAAAGAGCACTGCAGAGGTGCCAGGGCTGGTCCCATACTGCCTTGGAGACCTCAACATTTTTTCAATAATCTTTAGACTGGAGGAGCTTCCAGGCTCTTGCAGCCCTGCCTGAAGGGCACATGCATGTGCATGCATGTCCACACAAACCCGTCATGGGCCCATTCACACGTGTGCATGCTCATGGCCCCCAGTGCACATGCACACGCACAGTCATAGTTGCACACTGGCCACCTCACATGCACACCGTGAATTCACATGTACAGACATGGATGGGACCATGAAACATACATGCATAAAGATAAACAGCAGATATGCCCGTGCACACATAAGCATGCCCGTCGTGCGTGAGAGAGCACATACGACACATATGCACATGCTTGTTCTTGCTCATGTGCACACAGGCTGGCCCAGCAGCCCACCCTGCCTCCTTTGCTGCCCTCCCCCCATGGAGCACTGGAGCTGCCTCCCTGCAGGAGATTTCAAAAGAGGCTGTTTATACAATTTCTAGTAAAGAAATAATTATTATAATCACATTAAGCGATCTGGCTGTAAAATTCCTGTAAGGGGAAGCACGTTCTCCTGAGGCAGGGGTGGAGCCGTCCAGGCTGGGGGCTCCCGACTGCTTTGCTTGCTTTCATCCCCCGCCCTGGGACATGGAGAGAGCTGCCTCCTTGATGGATTGGCCCTTGCACTGGTCCTTGACCTTCTGGGAGGATTTCTGCTGAGCTCGTGGAAAATGCTCCGCACGGTTGTGGCTCCCACATGTGGGGGGCAGGGGCAGCAGGGAAGGCCTGGGCCCTTCCCAAAAACAGAACAACAATAACAGCAGCCAATTCAGAGCCAGGCCAGCCAGGGGCCTGGACAGCATCCCATGCAAACAGCCAGCAAAGAGGGGTCTGCTTTTGGCAAACAGCAGCCTGACGTCGGCCCTCATGCCCTGTGGGCTCCTGCACCTCCTGGGGGACATGAGAGCCAGGAGCCAGGACGGTGCTGCCCTGCTCCTACCTGAGCCCACCAAGCTGGCCTCCCTGGACCCTCCACATGGGCCCTGTGGAACCCAATGCCTGAAATCCCTGCTGTCCCAGGACAAGGACCAAGAGCGGGTTCAGCCAGGGCCGGGACTGGCAGGGGACAATGACTTGCTGTGATTCCTGCCCTCTTTGGGGCAGTCTTCAAGGGAGCAGAGTAGCTCAGGGCTGAGAGGGGTGGGCCTGCTGGCTGTGTGGGCTCCTGGGCACACCTGCCCACTGTGGGCCTCCTGCCCTGCTCTGCAATGTCTTTGTTTTGCAGGCCTCAGGGAGGCCTCCTGGGACAGGGGCAGTGTCCTTGTGCCAAGGTGGCCTGCACTAGGGGACCCAGTGTATAAAGGTGCCTAACTACATCCCATAAATGAGAACAAGAGCCAGGTATTGTGGCCTATGCCTGGAGTCCCAGGCTGAGGCAAGAGAACCACTGGGAGTTCAAGTCCAACCTGGGCTAGATAGTGAGACACTGTCTCAAAAACAAACAAAAGTAAATATGATGGAGATGGGAAGAAAGAGGCCAGGGGCAGTCAGCCCACAGTGTGCAGAGCCAGTGAATAACCTGCAGAGACAGGTGGTAGCTACAGGGGAGACACAAGTGCCAGGGCAGCACGCAGGAGAGTCATCGGGCAGTGGCAGCTGGACGCAGGTGGAGAGGGCCGATGTGTGCCCCCCTCCCCAGCCCTACTAACCAGTGGCCATGTTCCAGAGCCCCAGGAGACAGGGGCAAGGCTAGGTTGGGGATGAAGGGTGTCTGCCAGCTCTGGCGCCAGCCCTCTGTCACAGCTTCCTGAGCTGTTGCATGGCCTCCATGGCAGCAGGGACAGCCAGGGCTCTGGTACAATGAAGTTGGTGGACAGCTCTCTCCTCCAGGATGGGACATAAGTGCCCTTGAGGCCAGAATGTCAACTACATGCCACCCAGGACTACCCGCACACCCTGCCCAGGCTGCCCCAGCCCCCACTCACCGCCACTCCCCACCCCCAGGCCAAGAGGCTGCAGGCCCAGCTGAGTGGGGCCCAGGAGGTGCTTGCTGGGCTGTATCAGGAGCTGCAGGGCAGTGAGGAGAGCTGCGAGGGGCTGCGCAGGGAGGCCCTGGAAGCCCGCCAGGCACTGGGCGCAGAGGCCCACGAGAAGGACATGCTACAATACTCCAACAGCAAGCTACGGGCTGCTCTCCACAGGGCTGAGAAGGACAAGGCCAGGTATAGCAGCATGGCAGGGGGGTCTCAGAGGCCTCAGGCCAGGTGATGGAGGCACTGGATGCGAGAGCTTTGGGAAGCTGGCATGGACAGACGTGGGTAAATGTGCCCATGTATGCCATCCTGTCCAGGGTGCTGGGGTCTCAGCAGATCATTCCTGCCCCAAGGAGCTCTTGTCAGCAGCCTGATGGCCAAAAGGGGCCCACAGGAGGCAGGGACAGGCTGGGAGCTGGGGCCTGGCCAGGGCTCCAGGAAGGCCTTGTGGGCGGATGCTGGGAACCAGGTCCAGCCCCTCCTGGTTCCACTGGGAAGGCCCAACCTGCCCAGCAGCTGTGAATGTCTTGGGCAAGTGTGGCCTGGAGCCCTGCAGCCTGTGGCACCTGCTCAGTTTAAAGCGGGCCAAGGAGGAGCAGGAGCGGAAGCTGCAGGCACTGGACAAGGTACGGGTGGCAGCCCAGAAGGAGGCCAGCGAGCTCCGGGCCAGGCTTCAGGCATGGGCACAGGCACAGGGGGAGGTCCATCGGGACCTGCAGGAGCACCGAAGCCAGGTGAGGCTGGGAGGGTCCCCAGGCCAACAGTGACCCATGAGGCATGCTGGGGTGGTGGTGGGGTGTTCTGCCCTTAGCATGGCTGCGCCCATGAGCTCAAGTGACACAGCACCTCAGGCCTAGGTCTGTGCCCCACCCAGCCCTCCTGCCCCAGAGAGGGACACCAGATGTGTGGGCAGAGAGGGTAAGGTTGATCCCAGGATCCCAGCCCAGGCCCAACCCAGCCCGGGTCATAAGTGTGAGCGAGGAGCAAGGAGGACCCAGGTCGGCAGCTCCTGCCATAGCCCCACACTCCAGGTGAGGACACTAGAGGCTGAGAGCCAAAGGCAGAGCAGGGAGGTGCGTACACTGCAGACCCAGTGCTCATGGGAGACCCAGCGGTGGCAGCAGAGCCAACAGGAGGTGCTGCAGCTGCAGAGGCAGGTGGCAGAGACTGAGGCTGCCCACCAGAGTGCCCAAAAAGAGGTAGGGGCACTGACTGGCTACCTCAGAAGGAGGTAGGGGTCCTCAGCTCCTCCAGGAGGCAGGTGGTTGATACCTGCAGAGAGCCTAGGGCTTTCACTTTCAATCTCACGGATACCTGTGGGTCTGTCCACACCTGCATGACACAGTGACCATATGTGGCAGGCTCGGACCTGCAACAGCTCTAAGCCCTGTTGTAGAAAAGGGCAAGTCCTGCTTTAAGCAGTTCTCCATCCAACATGGGTGGAGGTGCCCTCACCAACCCTGAGCCACACGTACAGAGCCCTAAGGCACATGCCCACCACTCCCACCATGGTCCTCAGTGCTGCCCGGCTCCTGAGGCTTGAGGACCCTGCTGCATCTGTGCTGGGAGGCAGATGTGGAGGTTCTTCCAGCTGTAAACTATGGGGTGGGGGTGGATTTTCCAAGGGCAGAGGGGCCTGGGCTCTGGGCTTTTCCATCTCACCAGATGTCCAGATCCTGTGTCCTTCTCATAGGTCCTGGGACTACAGCGGAAGCTGGCAGAGGCTGAAGCCACAGGCAAGGCCCAGGCAGAGCAGCTAGAGGGACTGCTGTCTGAGAGCCAAGAGGCCAGGCACACTCTGTGGGCCAAGCTCCGCAGTGTCACAAGGAAGCTGCAGCAGACCAGTGGCCAGGCTGACAGCCTCCAGGGCCGCCTGGACAGTGCCTGCAGCCACTTGTACAGCCTAGAGCGGGAGCTGGCCAGGACCAAGGTCGCCAAGAGGCATGCAGAGGCCCAGCTGAGCCAGCTATGTTCCATGCTGCGCCGTGGCCTGGGGCTCCAGGGTCAGAGCCCAGCAGTTTCTCCACAGCCACCTGGCTTCCCAGAGAGAGGTCAGCTGTGTCTCTGGCCAGGGCTCCCATCACGACCCAGGCCTCACATGCACAGGGAAGGTGGCCCCTCCCCAGAGCCTTCAGAGCCTTCAGCACATGGAGCAAGCAGGAACCCTTGTGCCTGTCACTGCGTCTGTGCCCACATGCCCTCTGCTGTCACTTCCCTTAGGCTTCAACAGCTCTCAGGTCAGCCCAGAGCAGCAGGGAGCCAGCCTCCCTGCTGGGCCACACTTGCCCCTGCAGGGGCCATCATGTGTGCCTGGAGACCATGACCCGGGGGTCATGGATGTGGCTGCTGTGCAGGGCGCCCTGGGGGACTTCGTGCAGAAGCTGCGGGACACCCAGCAGGAGCGGGTGAGGCCAGCTGGGATTCTCCCCACCCAAGTTGGCTCATACCCTGGGTGTGGGGCATGGGGAGAGAGCAACCCTCACTCAGACCTGGGTCCCTCTGTCTGTCCATCCCCAAGCCTGCTGAAACTCTGGTGGGCCCTGTGAGACAGTATCCAAATTGCCTCTGTCCACAGTGACAAATGCCAGCAACCCCCACCATCCCTCCAACTGAATGCCCCACACAGCAGTCAGCTATCCTGGCCCAGGCAGCCAGCCATGCCTGGACTCTGTGTCCCATGCCATCACCCAAAACCAGGACACCAGCTCTTCCCTGAGGCTGGGACACGACCAGGTCACTCACAGAGGCTGCACCAGGGACACAGTCCGAGCAGCTGTTCCCTTGGGCTCCAGGTGTGCCCTCCCATGGGCACAGCAACAGTGGGCTTGGGCAAAAGGGCAGTCCTGGGCTCTGCTTGCTGCTCCCCTGTACCCCCCAGCCATCAACTCATGGTGTTGGCTGGGGCCTCCTCCTACCCCAACCTGCTGGCTGTGCCCCGCTGCCCCCAGCCTGTGCAGGCCCGGGAGTTGGTTCAGCCACTGCCATGGTCAGCTCCTCGCAGCCCCAGAGCTACCTTGGCCCCTCAACCCTGACCCAAATCCTTCCACCAGGATGACTGCTGTGGCCAGGTGGCCAGCCTCAGTGCCCAGCTGAGTGTGGCAGAACTTGAGCGTGCCCAGGCCCAGGGCCATGTGTGGCAGCTGCAGAAGGTGCTGGCAGAGACTGAGGAAGGTGACTCCTCATCCCGTGAGGAGCACCAGCCCTGCTCCTGCCTCCCACAAGTGTGGGGTCTGGGAATGACTCTGGGGTGGGTGGGAACAGCACCCTGACCCATTTCAGGGCTGCTAGGCACCCCCACTCCTAGCACTGCCCAGTGTCAGCCTTTACCCCAACCATGCCCACCCCTTGGCACCAGCCTGCCATGGTTGCCCCCATTTGGGACCCCACCTTTGCCACCTCCCCAGAGAGAGCCCTGCCTGCTGTTCCTCACTGAAAGGGTTGGCATCAGTCAAGACTCAGGAGAAGGAAGGATGGCTGAGAGAGGGCAGGAGGCTGGAGGCAGATGGCAGGGCCTTGCCAACTGCAACTCTAGGGCTGTGGAGACTCAGCCACTGCCTGTGACTCCTGCTCTGCCCTCCTCCCAGGCCAGCACCGGGCAGAAAGTGCACTGGACAGTGCCCAGTCAGCACATGTCCTGCAGAAGGAGGCACTGCTGAGACTAGACATGGAGCACCTGGCCAGCACACGGGCGACAGCCCAGGACAGGCGGTGGCTGCAGGTAGGAACCTGGAGGGGCATAGGTGGGGGAAACAGATGGGGTAAGACTCCGTGGGCAAGGGGCTTCCTGGCTGGCACATGTGCAGGATGGAGGCTGTTGGGGCAGGAGGCCATCCCTGCTGGCTGGCTGTGTAGTGACCCGAGCCCCAACTGCACAGGTTGGAAAAACTTGTCTTGGCCCCCAAGTCACAGTCAAGTGAGAGAAGAAAGAAAAAAAGAAAGAAAGAAAGAAAGAAAGAAAGAAAGAAAGAAAGAAAGAAAGAAAGAAAGAAAGAAAGAAAGAAAGAAAGAAAGAAAGAAAGAAAGAAAAGAAATACACAGAGGGAGAGAGAAGGAAAAAAGGAAGAAAGAAAGGAAGGAAAGAAGGAAGAGAGGGAGAAAAAAATGGAAGGAAAGATGGAGGGAGAAGGGAAGGGGAGGGGAGCAGAGGCAAGAGCAGAGAAGAGGAGTTTTGTGGGTTCTTTTTCTGTCAGTGTCCTTTGCAAAGTGGAAGCCACAGCCCCACTTGTCTGGAACTCAGAAGCGCCATCCAAGTGTTGGTTCGGCGCTGGTTCCTCTGCGGATCCCCTCTCCACTGCAGAACAGCCTTCTCCTCCCCTCTCAGTGCCCTTGGCCCTGGAATTCCCAGCCTTCTGGTCTGGGCCCCAGCCTGTGCCCTGGGCCTGTCTTCTACTTCTCCTCCCACATCTCCCGATCATCTTGGAGAGGACTTGGTCACACTCAGCGGCTCTCACTATCAGCTGCCTCTAATCTTTTTCCACATCCTGGTTGGTACCCAAGTGCTTTTCTCATACTGTCCACTCTGACCCTGAGAACATCAGTTCCCATTTCTGTTAACAATCTGTTCATCAGAGACTCAGATCTGCCTCCTCTGATGGCCACATCTGTGGCACTTCTCCCTAGCTGGTCTCTAAAGCAGGGTGTTCTGACCCTGGCCACAGGTGGGGTGGGAGGAGACAACCCTGCCCCAAGGAAGGATGAACAGGGGCCTTTGTCCTGCAACCAGTGTCTGGGGGCTTCTGGTTCTCAGCCCCAGGGACCCATCAGCCCTGAGGAGTAAAGCTGCCCACCCTCCCAACACAGCTCCCAGGGGTACTGGGGTGCCCTGGGTACCTCCCGCAGGTGCAGGGAGCACTCTAGAGTACATGCTGCCATAGTGAGCCTGGGGGTGCTCTAGAGATCTTTGCTCTGGGTAGAAATCACTTGTGCATTCCATGACGTGTGCTCAGCATCCTGCGCTCTGTGCTTCGTTTTGGAATTCTGGTGAGTACATGTGCCCTCTTAGAAGCCACTTGGCTCCAGCTGCTCCCAGGACCCTCAGAGTGCCTGATGTGCAGCTCCGAGGCAGGTCTCCCAGGCTTGGCAACCTACTGGCCCCTGTGGTGGATGCCTGGGGTTCAGATACAGCTGTGTGGGCGTCTTCCTGAGGCCCCACGTCTGACAGCAAGCCCAGGCCATAGTGCAAGCCCCAGTGCTTGCAGCCAGCTAGGGCTGGGGATGTGGCCACACTGCAGCCAGGCTGGCTGCTGGCAGGGCAAGCCTGGCCCCCCAGGTCCCCATGCCCCCCCCAGGCCCCTCTATTGCCCCCCACACCCAGGGGTGATCCAGAGCAAGCTTGGCCCCCACCCACAACTTCTTTCACTTTCGTGGTCTGCTTGCTTCCCCCATCTCCCATCAGCCAGCGTGCTTGTCAAGAGAAAGTTAATTAAAAACATATTTTTCTAATTAAATGGTAGGCTGTGCTGTTCGAACAGTGCAACTCTTGTTTAGGGCTAGTCCCTCCCTGTTGCCAGGGCAACCCAGGACCCAGCAGAGCAACAGTGCACAGCCAGCACACAGGGACACGCGCCCAGGGCAGCTGGGCGCACACAGCTGGCAGGCTCTGCACAAGGCAGGCCTGGCGCCCACCCAGATTTGCCCCGCATGCCCTCTGCATCCCCAGGAGGCCACCCATGTGACCATGGACTGGCTCCCGGTCACGGCCTCCGAAGCTCAGAGGGGCCCTGTGTCCTGGACTCCTGCCAGCCCCTCCGTGCCCCACATCCCATGTGCCATGTCCAGCCACTCAGGCTCCATCCAGCTGCCAACCTGGCATCCAGGTTCCAGCAGCAAAGTGGTGGTGCGTTTCGAGGCTCAGGTTCACTTACACCCAGGGCCTCTCCTGGGGCCTTGGTTGGGGCTGATTCCTCCTGTTTTGTTGAAAATGTTTGTCTCCTATAATCCTTCCTGCACTGTGGTTTTCAGACTCCTGAGTGCTAAGAATATTTCATGTTGTGAGATGAGTCTGTGAGCCTGCTTCTCTGCCTGTCACCTGGATAGTCCCAGGATAGCAGGGGACGTCCCAGGACTCTCAAGATGAACTGAACTGCACCGTAAACTCCCCAGAGCTCCTGTCACCCTAAACAACACACTTCGACTCCCTCTCGTTTTCTGCTCTGCCCGTCTTCTAGGTCAAGTCTCGTCTTTGGGGTGTAAGTTGCCACCCTGGGTCACTGAGTATATTGACACGGGTGTCCACACCCTGCTTCACCCTGTGGACAGGAGGTCGGTCATTCCTGTCACCCATCCCCGTCCGCGAGTCTGCCCTCAACCTGGCAGTGTCTTGTGCCCCCTACTCCCGCGTGCTGTTTCGTGTCCCTTCTCTTTTGTCTAGTTTATTCATTCAGCTTCTATCTCTATAACTTTCTCTTTTTATGCTCTTTTTTTCCAATTTCTTAATGGAACTAGATATTTGTTCATACTTGGGCTTTCTCTTTCAGTTCTAAGAATGTTTAATGTCACCAAATTTTCCCTTACTGTGGTTCAGTGTGCCTACCATAGTTTCTGGTGTGTCTTCCCCTTCTGACCAGTTTTCTGGGAGCTTCTGTCCTCACCTCTTCCTTAATCCAAGGGTAACCAAGGCGAATACTGTGCTGCCTTGCTGCTCCTCCCAGGCCTGGGGACCACTTCCTCCTGGGTGGCCCTCTGGTGGCTCTTGTCTCCGGACTGGGCCTCTGTTGGCTGCCTGCTGCCTGCTGTTCTGGTTTGGTTTTGTCTGCTTGTCTATGATGTATTTCAAAGGAAGCTGGTCAGTCTGACTGCAGTATACAGGGAAGAATAGATGTTAGAAATCTGGCAGGAAAACTTAGGAAGGAACAGTGGAGCTGGCTGCAGCACAGAATGGACAGAGGCGTGGACAGCAGGGTCCAGCAGTGGCCTGTCCACCACAGAGTGGCCCCAGACCCCGAGCTCCACTCCTCACTCCACTGAGGCTTCACCCTGCATCTAGAGCCTCCTGGAGCCCATTCTGTCCTGTGCAGTCCAGGCAGGCCCGGGCCTTCACCATGCTGAGCTCAGGAGGTATGTGCCAGGGGACGATGAGACTGGTCTGTGTCACCAGTGGGTCACCCTGAGGGCCTGGACTCCCGAGGCCTAGGAACCAGGTTCAGGCCACCGGTGGCCTGCACTGTCCTTCCTTGAGCAGCTAGGGACATGGGAAGAGACCTCTATCCCCCGCTGCGCTTGAGGGCGGCTGGGCTTCCACCAGACTTCGCCATTCCCGTGGCCCGCTGGGACACCTTGGGGTTGCCAGCTCTCCCCACTGCCCTCCATCTTTCAGTTCCCACAAGAGCCCTCAGAGACTGCACCGTGGCCCTAGTGCTGACAGGAAAACCAAGCCTGGCTCCTCCCAGTGGGAGCCCCGGGAGCTCAAGGCACTGGGCTCAGTGTGGGGAATAGGAGTGCGCCCTCTTTCCTGTGCTGCTGAAGCCCTAGCTTTGCCCTCCTGACTCTTGCTCAGGGTCAGGACTCAGAGTCAAAGGGACACACAAAGCATCCGCCTCCCAGGGAAGCCAGGGCACACGCAGGGCGAACCGCTCGGTTACGACGGCTAATTTGAATTCCATAAATTCTAGCCATTACGGAAGAGCATGATGCTTCATGTAATTGGTTTGGGGCCTCTTAAAACTACCATGAAATATTTAAGCCATATTGGAAGGAAACATCTGCTTCTCTACTGGAAAATGTATAGCAATAGAAAACCATCATTTTCAAACTTGTACGGAAGATGAAACATGGAAATCTTGGGCCCCCTTTTGCTTGCTGCAGGTAATAATGTGGCAGGTGTTTTACAGAGTGCTTTGGGAGCCCGCCCAGAACCCTCATCCCACCCAGTACTGGAGGCCCTGTCACCCCAGCCCTCCTCAGTGGTGACAAGCAGGCAGTGGGGGAGGTGCTTGGAGGCCAGTGCTGCCAGGGCAGGCTGCAGCCACCCACGAGGCCCCAGCTCTCTGCAAGCAGCCTCCCTGCCGCCTCGGCCCCTTGCCCCCTCTCACTCCTCCCCAGCACCCTCAGCCCACTGCTAAGATTGCTGCTGTCCTCTGGGGCTGCTTCTCCTGCACCTTAGGGATGGTGCACCCTCCGGCCCCATGCTCCCTGCAGGTCCCTCCTGGCAGCCGTTCCCCTGGGCAAGCAGCAGTTCTGGGGCCTCAGGACTGAGCACACATCCACATCTGCTCCTACCTCCCAGTCTCTGTAGGTGGCCTGAGACCTGGAGGGACACCTGGGGGAAGCATGGACACAGGTAGAGAGGAGAGGGGTCCGGGCTGAGCCTCAGGGCTCTATGAGCGCAGAGAGCCCTGAGGGGTCTCCACACCAAGAGCTTCAGGGTCCAGGGGCTGAGAGCAGCAGCACCTGGTATCTCATGTACCTCCTGAGACAACCGTACAGACCCTGCGGCCCACCTACTGCCCACACCCAGCCTCCCACCACCTGACAGGGCTCCTGTCAGTGTGGCCCAGCTCCAGCTTCCTGGGGGATCCACATGCCTGTCACATTAAGGGCACAGGCTGTCATTTCATTTATTTTTACTGCTTTGCATTCCCAGCCCTTCCTATTTTTAATTTTGATCCAAGGCCTCCTTACGTTGTCCAGGCTGAATGCCAACTTCGGATCCTCCCGCCTCAGCCTTCCAGAGTGCACAGAGGACAGATGTGTGCCATCCCCCAGCTGTGCAGATCAGCTCCTCAGCCTGGCAACCCTGTCCTTTATGGCTATTTGCCGCCCAAAAATCCCACCGCAGCAACCCCTAGCTAGACTCGGAAGCCCATGTCCCCCACATCTCCAGGCAGCCTGTGTCTCCTCTCCAAGGGACAAATGGATGCCCTGCCCTGGGCCTGGGGGAGCTCCACCTGGAGGTGAGGGCAGTAGGCAGGTGGGGCAGCCACGCCGCCCCCAAGAGGCAGTGAGACTGTGCTCAGGATCAAGGGTCTGGGCAGATGCCAGACCTGTGAGCACCTGACCCCCCCAGCATCAAATTCCAGCCGGCAGCAGGGAAACGGAGGCTGGAGGGTGTCTGAGGAGTCCCGAGGCTGCTGTTGCCCTGCTGTGAGCACCTCTGTGATGTGGGGGTCTCCTGGAGCCATACACTATAAGAGAGATGGGTGCTTTCCACAGGACCTGCCCCAGCAGACCTCATGGCTTTGCCCCACAGGGTCCCACACAGGCCCCCACTCTGTGTCCTTCTGGGCAGTGGCCCCCTGAAGGTGCTTGGGCCACTGGGCTCTGAGATCTCCCACCCCCCACAGGACACACCCCCAGAGCAGGGCAGGGACTCCAGAGGATGGCATACAGTGCAGGCACAGGAGACAGGAAGGAGGGACATGTGGTTGGAGCCCAGCAGCCAGCACCTAACCATCAGGGCTCTCTGCACAGCAGGGGAGGGGGCAGCACCATGCAAGCTGTTCAAGGGGATCCTCCTTGTGGCTTCCCTGCTGCCTCAACCCCACCCGCCTAGGGATGGAGGCCAGCTGACCAGGACAGTCACGCAAGCCACCAGCCAGCTGTCCCCTAAGGGCCACCTGCCTTACCACAAAAGAGGAACAACCAGGGGGCCCCAAGACCAGGGTCCTGCTGCTGTCCTGAGGGGCAGGCCTGGCCCAGATGTGGGTCTGGGGAGCAGTGCTCTGCAGGGGTGGGAGGGCTGCGTGTCCACCCCACCTTCGATGTCACTGCCCGGGGAAGCAGAGCCAGCTGTGGGCACTGCGCCCAACCCAGGTCCCTGGGGCCCAGGGGGGGAGGGCAGGAACAGCTAATGAGTTCCAGGAGGTCAGCTGTATGGGGCCCACAGCCCATAAACCCTTTATTGGTGTCTCAGGAGGGAAAACCCGGATGTGGCCATTTATTTATTTTGGATTTCACTTTTCTCTTCTCTTTATAACATGCACTTCCAAGAGTGTAACTGGATTTTTAAAGAAACAGGCTCCTTTTCCAGTGGAAGGGAACTCTTTGTTTTTCTGGTCTTGGAGAAAGCAGTCCTTAATTTTGTAAAACTTGGGCCACTGACCCCATAACTTTGCTGATGGAAACCCACCACATCCCCTGACCCAGGCACCCAGGTGGGAGCGCAGGTCCCCCCACTCCTGAGGGAGGCCTCCCAGGAGGCCTGCCCCTGCTAGGTGAATGTTCCTGGCCACAGCAAGTGGAAGCAGGAAGGGCACTGCACAGCAGTGAGCAGGACTTAGTGCCCACCAGGGCCTGGTGAGCTCGTAAGGTGGCACAACAGGATGCCTGGGACCACCGGGATGCAGGCAGAACTCCTCTTCTGGGTCATCTGCACACAAGCCAGAGAATCAGGGATCCAGTGGAACCCTTCCTGAGACACTGCAGTCTTGATGGCTATGTGAGACTTGCAGGGGCCCCATGAACAGCCTGGCTTTGCAGAAGGGGGAAGAGGAAAGCCTGTGGGGTACACAGACTGGTAGGGTTTCCCCAGACCAGGACTGATGTGATGCTCAGAGGCTTTCATTTCTCCTTGTATTACCAAGTCCATCTAGACAAGAGCCTGCGAGAGGGACCAGGCAAGTGTCACTTCAAGACTTGAGGGAGCTCAGCAGGGCCAGTGGGAAAGTGGATGCTCCTGAACAGACTCCCAAGGCTGTGGCTTGTTTCTGGCCGAGGTTCTGACCCAGGCTGTCTGCTGAGTGCATCTCTGCTATCCATCTCTGCTGCCTGTGGCAGGCCAGGCCAGGAGCCCAGTAGCATCCAGCAGGACCAGGAAGGAAACAGTGCCCAAGGATAGAGAGGGTCCCTGGGCAGCCTCCCCACTGCAGAGGGCAATAAGGGGCCTATGTGTTTGCTGCAGGCCCAGCCACAGGCCACACAGGATCTGGCATCCTGAGAGCAGACCCACCAGCGTCAGAAGAAGGAGCTGGAGGAGCAGGTACATTGGGGCACAGACAGCGGAGGGAGGCCAGGCACAGCACAAGGTGGTCATGCCCTAAGCACCTGTCTGCTGCCCACCTGGGACTGTGTCTGTCCCACACTAGGAGAGAGGCAGGCATTCCAGGACAGCTCGCCATACCCTCTGGCATTATCCCGTCTATAGAATGGTGTGGCCAGAAGGAGGCTGTAAGAAGAGCTGGGTGCTTGCATAGGGAGCCCTGGGGCAACACCTGTCCTCAGTCACATAAGTGGGCGTGGTCAGCTTGTAAGGGTGCACACAGGGCCTTGGGCATGGGACAGCATGTGCCACACACATGCACATGCAAAACATGCCTGCCATGCCATGCCAGGGGCTTGGAGCTGCCAGACCTCAGAGCCCTGTGTTCAGAACCCTGCTTTACAGACAAGGGCACTGAGACCATAGGCGGCCCAGGGTCAGCCCTGTCACCATCCCCAAGCTACTTCCCTGTCACTGTGTCTCATGGTCTGCATAGAGGATTTGTCCACTGCAGGTGGGCAGCAGCCTCTGGCCAGGATACCCTGGGTGGCACAGGTAGGGAAGGCCCTGCATGCCCTATGGCTGCTTCCCTCCCACACAGGCCCCCTTCCTGCCCTCCCAGCACACAGCCCCCATACCCTGTGCAGGATCCTGGCCACACCCCCACCACCCCACCTGATGAGGCTCTTGGCTGTCGCCAGGTAACCAGGCTAAAGGAGCAGCTAGCCCAGGAAGTGCAGCCACAGCACCGGTGTGCCCACGTTCACCAGGCCTCCCAGGCCAGACAGTGAGTGCTGCAGCAGATGCTAGGCAACTTGGCTCCTCAGGCTGGGAAAGCTCCGCGGTGCTGCAGAGCGGGCCAACTGCAGGAGAGGGCACAGGCACCCTGGCCAGCACCCACCGCCCATCAGCTGAGGCATTCTGGTTCTGCAGACTGCAAAGTCCCCACCGTGGGAGCTATGCTGTCGGCTGGATGGCCTGGCTGCCAGTACCTGCGCTCCAGCACCCTTCCTGGCTCGGGCAGTGGGTTGTGGGCGCCTCCTCAGCCACCCCTGGCCTGGCTCTCGTTTCCGCTTTGGACGTGCCATTCTTGCCAGACCCTGGTGGCTGGGCCCTGCCAGGCCAGCTTCCTTGGCCACAGGCTGCATTCCCAGTCTCTCTCTGTAAACACCGGGAAGCACGTGGGAAACATTTCCACCAACCAGAGCCAAAAACACAATGTCCCGCAAGGCCAACCACCACAGCCCCTGTCCAGAGATTGTGGAACCTCCCGCGTCCAGGAACTGGGGCCTGTCACAGTGGCAGGTGGCTGGAAATGACTCAGCTTCGAGTCCTCGTGACTCACTGGCCATAAGCAGCACTGGAGTGTGAAATCCGAAGTTGTTCCAGAGGCTCCCGCGTTCCCGGCCTGGAGAAGCTGGGAAAATTCCCATGGGAACCTGGGCCCAGTCGCCTCAGGGGCTGTGGCTTCCATGTGGCCTGCTGCAGCCATCCGCCAGCGCTTTCCCTGGCTCCCCACAGAGTTGCACAAAGGGGTGCAGCTTCTCCTTTGTGGCTTTCATATTAAAAGCAGGACCAGGCTGCAAAAGCCCCATCTGCACCTGGACCTGCCCCAGCACTGGGCACCAACCCATGCCAGCCACTGTGAGCTGTGCCCGTGCTGTCAGAGGCTATCCTGTCTGGTCAGCCCTTGGATTTACCTGAGCTTACTAATGGAGTTAGAGTATGACAAATCTCAAAGCCAGTGCGGGCAGGTGGGCAGAGAGACCTCATGGTCTGACCACAATACCTGCTCCTCAACAGCAGAGTAAGAGGACCTAAAGCTCAGCCCAGGTCCAAGGGGAAGCTCCAGGCACAGGTATTAGTGGTAGCAGGGCACCCTGCGGCTTGTGCCCACCCAGAGTGGCCAGGTACAGGCAGCTGCAAGCCATCAAAGGCGAGCACAGCTCTACCAGTGCCTGTGAAATGCAGTATGTGGCTCACAGGGCCTGGATGTGTCCCCACACACACCTGGAGGACAGCAGTGCCTTCTGGGAGGCCAGGGAGCAGGGGGCTGGCTGCCTTCCATGGCCGTGCCCAGTGCCAGGACAGCTCCACAGCGACCTGCTCCCAGAACTCTGGAGAAAGCATGGTCCAGCTCTGAGGGGTGTTGCAGTGAGACTGCTCAGGCAGCCTCTCCAGGGGCCTGTGGGTCTGGGATAGGGCCCTCGGGCCTCAGGCCTCGGGCCTGGAGAGGGCAGCCCCCGGTGCCTCATGGACATTGGATTTTCACATGGGTTTGTGCCTTGGCCGGTGCACAGCTTCTCAGTTGGCCTTGAGGGCCTCCATGGCTCCAAGTCAAGTCTTCAGAGGCTGCCCGCCCCCCGACGTGGTCCATGCTCAATGTCTCCATCCTTACACAGCTCAAGATTGGTATCAAAAAAGTACTAAATCACAGAGAATCAGAACATAAAGATCATAACCACCCCTGACACTGAGGTGGACCCCAAGTGGCTGTGCCAAAGGTCCCAGGCCTCAGGACTTCTCCTCTTTGTCTAACATGCTCATACATAGGACAGTTGAGGTCACAGCTTGTGTACTTCCTGGAACACAACTTTTAAAAATGATTTTTACAGACTGGATGTGGTGGCACACACCTATAATCCCAGCGTTTGGGAAGCTGAAAACAGGAGGATCACTACGAGTCCGATCTGTGTAATGAGACCCTGTAGACCCTGTACTAAAATACATAAAAAAATAAAATGAACTGATCTTTACATGACATAAGGTCATAGAGTTTTCTCTGTATCATCAGAGATGCCTCTGAAGCACAACTTTGTCCTTGGGGACAGGGAAGGAAGGAGAGAACAAAGGGAATTGTCCCTGCAGGAGGACCTGGGACGCCTGTGAGCCTGGCAACACTGGCCCCATGTGCAGCTCTTCCAGGGGACTGACCCAGTGCTCAGGAGATGGCGGAGGTGCCTGCAGCTCCAGCGCCTGGACCCTTGGGCCTGCTGTGCCCCAAAGCAAACTCTGAACTCCTGTGTGGTGGTGGGCGTGGGGCTGCACATGCATATGGTGAGGAGCCAGGTCAGGCTGAGCAGTCCCCCTGCCTGCCTCCCACAACCCCATAGGAGGACCTATGCCCTCTTCCCCTGTCCTGGCTTCTCTCATCCTGGAATGGGAGCCTGACTGGGGCCCAGCTTCCGGCTGCACCCACGTGATGGGACCAGCTGTGCTGGGGTCCTGAGCTCCACCAACACCCCTGGTCCTCTCCTCTCCTTCCAGGTGCCCAAGGCTCTGAGGCTCCCTATCTACACTACACACAAATTAAGGCTCTAAATTAAGGTGTCACAGCCCATGGGGAAGGCTCGAGTTTCCTGCCACAGTACATGAGCCCCTTTGATAAAGCCATTTGAGTTTTGATAAATGTGGATTTTCTGTGTCAGAGACAAAGACGCCCTTGAGTCCACAGGGGGACCTAGAACAGCACATTGCTGAAAAGTATTTCCTGATCATATTTTTAGCACCTGAGAAAAACATTTTTTTCTCCCTTTTGCCTGTGGAGTTCTGTGTGTGTGTGTGTGTGTGTGTGTGTGTGTGTGTGCGTGTGCGGGCGCGCATGTGTGTGCTGCATGTGTGTTTTCTTTTAATGAAATGTGATGCCCAGCAGTGCTGGGGCTTGTGTTAACCCCTAGTCTCCCAGGCCCGGCTGGAGATCTGCACAGGGGAAGGCTGTGGTGGGCAATAGGGCCAGATGCAAGTCAGTGGGTCACTCTGGGGTCCACGACTGGAGGGAGCTCTCACACCACCATTTGAGGGATAGCTTTGGGGGGCCAGCCTGATGTCTGTCCTGGCCCACCACACAATGTGCACCTATGGAGCCCACTGTGTACCTGGCCGGGGGGCCTTTACCTCTCAAGCCTGAGTTTATCCTTCTGCAAAACAGGGTGGGTGTGCCAAGGGGTGCCGGGCAGACAAGCCACACCTGGGCATAGGATCTTGCTCTGAGGATCATGCTGGTGCAGGGGTGGTCAGTAGGGAGCCTCCTCCAATCCTGTGCCCACCTCTGATACCGCAGCTTGCACCTGGGACTGTAGGGCAGCCCTCCAGGAAGCCCCAGCCTGGCTCTCCCAGAGGGCCCTGCACTGCCCCTTAGCAGTCATGTTTAATGTTCCTTGCATGGGCACATTGGAGACACCATAGAAATTACAGAAAAGCAAGCTAAACAGGAAACTACCACCTTGGTGGCAGCTGCTGTCACTGTGTGGCTTCTCCCCCTGCCTTGAGGGATGCACTCTTGTCTTCAGGGCTCAAGTCAAGCCCAGCACTGGGATCTGAGAGCAGACTAGATGGTGGAGCCTGAGGCGCAGAAGTCCAGAGCCCAGCAACTCGGGAACCAGGCAGGCCTGGTAGAAGACAGACACTCAGAGCTATACCCCAGGTGCCAGTTGGGACACCACCGGTGGGGACGCTGAAGGGGCTAGGGCCCCCTCCTCCCAAGCAGGCTTGCAGAATTTATGAGTTCCAGGGTCTGAGTGACCATCTCCCACAAGGAGGGTCTGCTCCACCTGGGGTGGAGCACTGGCGTTTCTGCTGCACCTGGGAGGAGACCTCCCCTGAAATGTCCCCCCTCCTGGTTGCACAGCTTGCGCAGGCTGAGACTGCATGATTCTTTGAAGCCCCAGGACCCCCGCAGGGAGGTAGGTATCTAGGATCCGAGATCTGGATAAACTGTGCCACAGACCCAGCGACCTCTTCTGGGCCGGCCCTAGGCAGGCTGCTAGTGGGGACCCAGGCCCAGCGGAGCGCTCAGGTCGCGTGGGTCCCGGCTGGGGCCTGGGCGCCAGGCCTGGCACTTTAAGGGAAGCTTATTTGCATGCCCCGCCCCGCCGCCCCCGCCCCCGCCCGCGAGTGTATTTAAAGGCGCCGCTGCCTGACGCCTCGGCAGAGCCTGGACGGCGCAGCCACCTGCGCCCGCGGACTGCGCGGAGCGCGCTCACGATGCGGCCCTGCGCCGCCTGGACGCTGCTGCTGGCCGTGGCGCTGGGGCTCGGGGCGCAAGGGGCTCTCGGCGCGGTGTCACTGGCCGACTTCTACCCGTTTGGCACGGCGCGCGGCGACGCCGTGACCCCGAAGCAGGACGACGGCGGCTCGGGGCTGCAGCCTCTCTCCGTGCCCTTCCCTTTCTTCGGTGCTGAGCACTCCGGCCTCTACGTGAGTATCGGGTCGTGGGAATGGGCCGCCCGGCCGCTGCCCGCCCCGACTCCCGCGGCGACTTGGCACCCTGCAGAGGCAGGGGTGGAATAAGGACAGCGTTCCCGCGCCAGGCAGACCGCGGCAGAGGCGTGGTGGGGCAGGGCGCGGCCGGACACCTCGGCGCTGCCGCCTCCTCGCCCGCCACGTCCGGCCCTCGTGGGGACTCGGGTGGTGTGCTGGAGTCTTTGCAGAAGCGAGGTGGCACAAGACACACGGCCTCGCTCTGAGTTTCCCAAGTGGGCACTTGGTTTGGGCTCCTCCTTTGGCCACTTGCAAGTACCCAGATGGCACTGAGGCCCAGTGAAGGAGGCTGCGGCCCGATCCCCAACCCCCACAGCGCGCCCAGCACACACACACACATACACACACACACACACACACACACACACACACACCCGCGGTGGCATCCTGCTGTTTTGCAGACCAGGGCTCTGGCAGTGTGGCAGGCCCTGCCCTGTGCCGGCTGCTCAGCCTTAGACACGGAACAGGACTCGGAGAGGAATACCTGGGGCAGAAGGACAAGGCCTGAGTGCCAGATCTGTATGTGTACTACAGGGGCAACTCTGACCACCACTCATGGGCCTCCTGAGGTGGCATGGGGTCAGAGCCACTGGGGGGACCTGAATGCTGGTCCTGTCTAGAAACATGGGCCAGCCAGGCCTGCAGTTACCTCAACACCGCGGCCCCAGCCACCACCTGTGCCAGGTCCAACACCATCACCAGCCCCACCTTGTCATCTGCTGTACCAAGTCCCAGCGGTAGCATGCCCCACCTCCACCGTCAGTACTGCCACCGACCCCCACCTAAAAGATCACCTTCTCCATGTGCACTGACTTGCAGTCTCACCACCAACCTCATCACCCCCAGCCACATCTTCTACATGGTTGTCACTGTGCTTCACTGTGTCCACAGACACAGCCTTCAACTCCCCGCACACTCACAGGGGCCAGCAATATTCACCCTGTCCCCACATGACGCCCTACCTGACCTCCCCATACCTCTCAGGCAGGCCTCCCCCAGGTCAGGGCATGGTCTGGTAATGTGACACTGAACCTGTGTGGGCAGATCCTTTCCTGAAAGTCCCCTTGGGCCAGGACTGTCCAGAGCGACAGGGTGACTTCTGGAAGTCTGAGGTGCACAGGCAGAGCCCGCTCAGAGCTGGCCCGGCCAGAAGAGGCACATACCTTAGGAATGGGAAAGCCCTGTGGACACCACCGTGACTGATCTCTGTCGATGTGTTCCTTATGCATTTGAGCCAGGCTCAACCTTCCCACTCAAATCACAGGTGAAAATATTATTAAAACAGTTGATCCTCTTAACAGCCACACCAAAAACAGCTACCCTTGCCAAATTCCTCCTTGGTGTCACTGCACACAGGGAGATGCTGTTCTAAGTGGAAAGATCTGCTCGCAAAATAAATGGTTTCATCAGAAATGAGCTTCCTGGCTGCTAGCACATATCTCCACAAGAACTTTTTCCTGAAACAGTGATAGTGTTAGGGAAACACTTGCCGATGTGGACACTGCAGCATGCTCGCCACCTTTCTGTTTGCTCAGTAGGAAAGAAACGGAATTCTTCAGTGAGCCGCACCCAGGGCATCTGGCTTCACAGGGCCACGAGCACTCTGGCCAAGGCCAGCGCCAGGCGTGCGGGGTGTGGAAGGAAAGCCTGATAGGTAGGTGTTTCCTCTGGAGTGAAGAAACCTACACATCCCTGCCTTGTCTCTCATGCAGGGCCACATGGCCAACGAGGTGCAGTGTGGACGGCGTCCAGCCCAGCACCTTCGGCCCAGGGCACAAGGGCCTCAGGGAAGCACTTATTCTACTGAGCCATCTCCCTGGCACCCCACAAGGGCCTCAGACATGGCCTCTGTTGCTCTCTGTCCCAAGCCTGTGACTTGGACCAGCAGGCTTGGTGCCTGAGGGAAGGGCTGAAAGAGGTCTTGTCCCTGCACTGTCCTGTCAAAACAGAAGCTAGATGTGCCCTAAGTGAGACCAGTATTTCTGGGGGCTGGGGAGCACCCAGAGTGCCCACCGTACACACAGTGGCTCTGTCCAGAAGAGGACCCCCATTCTCTCTCGTGTCACAGTGACTATGCCTGGCATGTCATGCGGGTCTGAAATTGCCAAGAGGATGTTTGATCGCTATAGCTCTGGGCCCTGGCAAGGGTCATGCTGCTGGACGGGGCACAGCCGTCACCTGCCAGCATTGTGCACAGGTGGCAGCTGCGTGCACGGCGCCTCCAGACCTATGAGCCTGTGGAAGTGCAGTGTTCTTCTCCGAGCAGTGTAGCAGGGGAGGGAGGCCATTCCAGATGTAGCCCTTCCCCTCAGGGCTTCTTGAGACCACATAGAAGAGCACGGTTACTTGGTGCCAAGAGCCCAGCTGTGGCCTGGGGAGCACAGCCTCTTGCTGGGGGCAGAGAGGACAGCTGGGCCCCGCAGTCACCTGTCCAACCTGTGCCTCTGGGTGGTCTCTCATCCACTGCGACAATCACTGACAGCTTCTTAGAAATGCTTCGCCCTCCTTATCATTTGGAAAACTTTGGGGTCAGTCCAAGAATTGAGGCACCCTGAATGGGAGCAGGAAGGTCTGGGTCAGGGTTGGGCTGTGTTCCTACAGAGCCCCCGGGCAACTTGCCATCAGTGTGACCTCTTGACTCGAGCTCTGTCTGGCAGCCGTGCCCTCTGGGAGCCCCTGCCTGGCTACGCAGCCTGCACTGACCCCAATCCTGAATCAGGCCCAGCCCTGCCTTCCCTGGTGTCATTGCTCAGGTGACCTCTGTGGGTTCTTCCGCCCACCTCAGTTGGCCATCTCTGCAGAGTGGCAATACCTTCCTCTCCTGAGTCCACTCCCAGATCTGCATACACAGGCCAGTTTGTTATTGTGGGTCAGAACAGACTTTCCACAGGACAGAGCTGCTGGCCGGACAGTGGTGACAGCAATGGCTACACATATGTCGCAGGCATAGTCACATGGGGAGCAGGACTCAGGAAAGTGGAATGGGGCAGGAGTTGAGGCTGCTGGACACAGATGAGGCAACTGAGGCTACAAATGCCTCCCTGCTCCTTTCTGCCTCTGGGCTGCACTCTGGCTCTGACCTGCTTGGGCGAACTTCGTTTTCTTGTCTGGAGAGCATAATAAGTGGACATTATCTACCTTCAAATATTCTTTTCCTTCAAATAAGAGCCCCACAATAGAGCAAGTGTTGTCCCCCTCTGGCCTTCATATTGTTGTGTAAATATTACGCATATTATAAAATTGACAACACAGTATTTTGGCTGTAAACATTTATCACTTAAAGAGATTTAAAAACTAGAAAGCCTAGAGTCTGGCATGGTGGTCCACACCTGCACTCACAGCACTCGGGAAGCTGAGGCAGGAGGATGGCAGGGTTGAGACCAGCCTGGGCTCTGTTTTGAGATCTGTCTCAAATAACCAAACCAAACCAAAACCAATGACTTTTATATTTACCCACATGGTTGCCATTCTCGATCTCTCTCCATCCTGCGTAGACCCACATTTCCATGTCATTTTCTTTGTGTGGAAGGCTTCCTGCAGTGTTTCCCACTGCCCAGACCTGCCAGGCAGAAGTTATCTTCCCTGAAAATTTCTTTCTATACACTCAGCTTTGAAGGCTGTGTCTGCGTGGAATTCCAGGTGGCTGCGTGGTTGGAGGAGCTTAGTTTCTGCTTTCATTTCCAGCTTGTGAGTCTGCTACTGCACGGTTGCTGGTGTCTGATGTCGTTGGCTTTGTTCCTTCTGTGTGACATGTCTTTTTCTCATATCACTTCCAAGATTTTATTGCTGTAATTCAGCAGGAGTATTTTAGTTGTAGTTTTTAAATTTCTTCTCTTTGGGGTTCATTAAGACCTGTGATTTGTAGCTCTTTGTCATTTGTAGCTCTGATGTCGTTGGCTTTGTTCCTTTTGCGTGACGTGTTTTCATGAAACTTGGAAAAATTCTCAGCCACCTACGATATTTTTCTCCAGTCCTTTGTCCCTTTCATTGGAAGACTCCAGTTATTTGTGCATCAAACTGTGTACAGCCATCCTGAGCACACTGAAACTTTGCTCTTTTTCTTTGGTCCTTCATTTTGGTTGTTCCTATAATTATGTCTTCAAGTTTACATAGTTTTTCTTCTGCTGTGTCTGACCTTTTTATTTCATTTCACTTTATTTTCATGTCAATTTTTATTTCTTATAGAAGCCCTTTAGATCTTTTCTTCTCTGCATATTTTGTTTCTTTCCTTCTTGTATTGATGTTTTCTTTTCTTTTTCTTTCTTTTTGTTTTTTGAGATAAGGTCTCACCTCGGAGCCCAGGCTGGCCTCATCCCTCCTGCCTTAGCCTCTCAAGTGCTGGGATTACAGGCATGTGCCACCATGCCCAACTTGATGTTTTCTTTTATATTCTGTTCATAGTTTGGTTTGGTTTGAAACAGGATCTTGCTATGTAATTCAAGCTGGCCTTAAACTCACTATGTAGCCGAGGGTAGCCTCAAACTTGTGATCCTTCTGTCTCAACCACCCAAGTCCTGGGATTATAGACATGCACCACCACATTCCACTGAGTTCTGAGCATATTTTTAGTATTTCTAATAGCTTATAATTATTGTCCTCTAATTTTAGCAAGTAATTTTTAATGCAATGTTTGACTGTATACCTGAAAAGCAAATTTAAAAGACTGGTAAGCATATTCCACTCCAAGTGCAGCCGTGTTTTCACAGTGGTGTGAACAGGGGTGTCATTCTGGAACTCCCAATGGCATGGAACTCCCAATGGCATGAGAGCCTCCTATAGGACAGGGAGCTGCAGATGGGGACCCCGCAGTGGCTTTGTGTTGTGTCGGGACTGGACAGGCCATTACAGAGCCAGCGCACTTGCACACATGTGTGCTATCCGGTGGTGCATGTAGGCGTGAGTATGCGCTGCTCTGTGTAACAGCATTCTGGCTGACA